AATAAGTCCATTTTGAAGTTGATTATTATCATTTTGAAGTTGAAAAGGTATAGTAATGGCTGGAGCCCTGGGTTTGAATGGAAAAGACAACTCATGCCTTACAGAAATACAAAAACTTTTTTCTACACGTACACCTCACACCTTATGAGGGGATTTATCTGTGTAAAATGTGTGTGTGTGTTCTTAGGTTATTTTCTGCTTATCTTTATATATATTTTTACGCAAATATCCAATGGAAAATGTCATGATGCCATTTCTGACCTTTGGTTGGGGCTAGGAAGGAAATGAGTATACAATTAAAGTCAAAGGAAATAATAATAATAAGAAGAAGAAGAAGAAGAAGAAGAAAAAGACGAAGAAGAAGAAGAAGAAGAAAAATATCTTCATAAAAGATATAGTAATATTTACTGAGACTTTGAAATACATACTTGGAGTTCTACACAAGCAGAGTTATAAAGGCTAATTAGGAGGTGCTGAAAAGTTCACAGCTCAACTAACTTCCTAAAATCAGGTATAAAATCGACTCCACTTTTACAATGTCAAATAGGAGAGCAAACACATGGTTAATTTGATGATACTTTTGATGACACAAGTTATTCCACCTGCTGTTCAATTTGCAATGTAAATATCGATGAAACTGAGATCCTCATATTGGATATCAACCACCCAATGTAAAAACCTTTCAGTAGTTTCCGCTGCAATCGCTACTCACTACACAAATTACAAGACATTTCTGGAAAAAAAAACAGAGATTGGATTCAGTTGAACTATTTCAAATTAAACAGGAAAATATTTTTTTACATTTTTTTTTTTACTTTTTTTAATCACTGTACAACTTGCCCAGTACTACCTCCCGGTTGGTCAGATAATCAGTGACGAAAACCGGTTTCCTTACCAGGATATCCTAATGAGGAGGGTGCCTATAACACCCAACAGGATTAAAAACAACGTCCTTGCTTTGAATATTGCTGCCACATCTGGTCTGGTGCTCCTGCTATATATTTTAAGATTCTTGATTAAAGCCAAAGAAGAATATACAATGTTAATGGTCCTAACCTGGCATCTCGGCTTCAGTCCCTTTCCCATCGCCGTAACGTAGCTTCCCTGTACCTTTTCTATAAATTCTTTTATGGTAATTGTTCTAATGAATTTTTCGCTATCATGCCTTGACTTTAGGAATTTTAAGCGTAGTACTAGGCTGTCGGCAACGTCTCGTCATTTTGCAGTTGAGTTGGCTAGATGTAACCGTAAGTTTTATGCTAACAGTTTCTTCCATCGCACTTCTCGCGTGTGGAAATCTCTTCCGGTTACTTGCTTCTCAGGAAACTTTGAACTTCAAAAATTTAGATGCAATGCACATCGTTATTTTCTGTTTTAATTCCTTTTCTTTTCTTGTTCTCTCTCCTTAATAATGTTTTTATTTTTCTGATGTTTTTTTTTTATATTCAGTAACTCCTTGCACCGTAGTGACTTTATTGCCTTCCATGAGTTGAAATGATTGAGAAACAGTGTCAATCGATATCTTCTGTCTTCTTAATTCTTGTTGTTTTATTGTCCATTCTCACACTCAGAAACCCGATTTGCATCTAAATTTTTAATTTTCTTGTAGCGAAAAAAGTCAAAATGAATTAGTAGTTTTAATGTTAGCTATATGTTATATTACTTACCATTAAGTATATATATATATATATATATATATATATATATATATATATAAAAACTGATCGATCAGATTTATTACCTCAAAACCAAACTTGTAAGAGCTCTGTCATTAACGAAGAGTCATTGAATTTCCTTCAATCGCAATGAACAGGTATTCTTTCAAAGAGGCCCCTTGCTTTGAAGCTAACCCCAGAACTCAAGCGGAACTCGTATATACGAAGATCACTGAAAAATAGTCAGTTTGCTGTACCGTTTCAGTAAGTACCTAACTGCTGCTATGCTTTACTTTTACAAGAGCCAGATCAGGCCGAAAATAGAATATTGCTGCTTTACTTGGTCCGGGGTTGTCCAGTTTTCAGATCTCAGTCTTGATTGAGACCAAAAACGGTTAATCAGCATTGTTGCCGATAAATTGTTTTCCACCTTACAATCCATTTCCCCTGGGACCAAATATTTCTCCATCGTTTCTCTAGCCTTGCTATTTGCATGGAAAATGTTCATTTGGTTTGGTTTGGTTTGTTTTACGGCATATCAACCTCAATGAGTTATTTAATGCCGACAAGATTTTTATTACTGGTAATATTTTTTTCCAAAAATGTATTGCTGGTAATATTTTTTTCCAAAAATCTATTGCTGGTAATATTTTTTTCCAAAAATGTATTGCTGGTAATATTTTTTCAAAAAATGTATTGCTGGTAATATTTTTCCTTTTCAAAAATGTATTGCCGGTAATAAATTTTCTAAAAAAGTATTGATGGTACTAAAACCTATTTTATACTTTCACTTTTTATAGTGTTTTGACCCCTCTGGCGTGGTTAACTATTTTGTCAATAGCTGGGACCCTGACAAGTGCCACCACCCCGGGTCAGGGTAGACCTTAGAACACCAGCAATTAAAACCTCCTGATCAAAGGCCTTACTGCCGAATGTAATTTACCCAGGACACGGATGTAGTTTATCGTCATACCCAGGACGCGGAAAATGTTCAGACAAGCTACATTCGTCGTTCCTCCTAGCTAAGATCCTCCAAATCGTGTATATTGAAGCAAATCACTCTCATTCCTTTCGTATTCCCTTTGTAAGGAGTAAGTTACACTCGAATAGCTCCTTGTCAATAAGTGTTGCTTTGGGGAAGGAAATCTCAGGTGGATGGTTTCTCGTCACTTACAATCTTCATCTCTTCAAATCTGGGGTTAGCTGTTAGGTTTCGCGCATATCTGCATAATATATGCCCCTTACTCTTACCGCTCAGAAAACACCGCCTTCTTAACCCTCTAACTGGAGTGGCTCTTGGGCCTTATATAAGCTGAACTTTACTAGAAAATTTTCCTTATATTTGAAACTACATCATTCGAAGATTCATGTGCCTTCAGTTTTGTAGGCGATTATGTCTCTCCGCGGCTTTTGTTATGGTAATTTACCCATGCACGCATGGACTCTCCCAGCTATAAATAGGAGCAGGTACTGCCTTTTAGAGAATGTAGTTTCCAGCATTTAGCTCTGACAGTCGGACCAAACATTCTTACTCATTTGGATATGTTTTGTATTACTGTTTATGTTAATATATTTGTTTAATTCAATTCATTTCTTTGTGTCTTTATTTCTGGCCCCAAAAAGGCCACAACAGCTTCCTTTTCTGTAAATTGTGCATTATTATTCTCGCTAAAGATAGTTTTCCATTGCTATCCACACGTTTTTGAATTGTTTTTCCCCTAGACTTACTGCCAACCAATTTTTAGAAAGCCAAATCTGCTTGATATATAAGCACACTGCTGATAGATACAGGGTCGTTAATAGATTAGTTTGGTCTACAATAAATTGTGATAGGTGTGTGTTTGAAGAGGACCGAAGTGTGTGATTGATTTTATTTTTTACGGTTTATCAACATTTTGCTGGTTATGTAAAGTCAGAAAATACTTTTAGATTATAAGAAACTTTTGGAGTTTACACATACAAGTCCAACTAATTAACTCATGGCCAGGAAGAGGGTATTTGCGGGTAACTTAATATAACGAACCCGACTGGAATTAGAACTCAGCTCCTGAACCTGGATGTATGTAAATAGATTATTCGATGTCCAGTTCTGCACCGTTAACCATTAGGCCACACGCCCTTCCAAGCTTACAGAACCTAATATTTTCCAGCGGTCACCCATCTAAGTACCAACTAGGCTCGACATTGCTTAACACCGGTGATCGGAAGAGAACCGGATCGAAGTGTAACAACGTAGACACATTATACCATATAAGTGTATGTAACGGGATATATGTAAATAGACTCTTCGATTTCCAATTCTACCCGTTACATCACACGCCCATCCAAGCTTACAGAACCTAATATTTTCCATCGAGGTACCAACTAGGCTCAACATTGCTTAACGTCGGTAATCGGACGGGAACGTGATCGAAGTGTAACAACGTGGATGTATGTAAACAAGTTCTTCGATTTCCAAATTTCGAGACCACACGCACATCAAAGCTTACAGAACCTGGTATTCCCAAACTGTCACCCATCTAAGTACTGACTAGGCTTGACATAGCTTAACTCCGGTGACCAGGCGGGAACGAGATCGAAGTGTAACTAACGGTGTGTATGTAAATAAGCTCTTCGATTTCCAAGCCCATTACAGCACAGATACATCCAAGCTTACAACAGCCGGTATTTCCAAGCAGTCACCCATCTAGCTTCTGCCTAGGCTCGACATTGCTTAACTTCGCTGATCGGAGGAGAACCAGATCGAAGTGTAACTAACTGGATGTATATAAACAGATTATTCGATTTCCAATTCTGAACTGTTACTCATTACACCACACACACATTCAATCTTACCGCACCTGATATTCCCATAAGGTCACCCATGTAGGTGCCGACTAGGTTCGACATTGCTTAACGTCGGTGTTCAGATGAGAACCTGATCGAATTTTAACTACCTGGATGTACGTAAATAGGTATAATGTAAGATATGTACGAACGAGTGTATTCATATATAGAATTCTTTTGTCCTAATTTCTTAGATGATGCCAAATTCAGTTATCGACTATATTTTTTTTTTTTTTTTGCATCATCGGGCAAAAAGCGACAATAAATTGCTTTTTATTTTTTTTCCCTCGCTCGTTCTTCTCTCCATGCTTCGGTGAAAAGTCCTTATTCACTTCCCTCCCTCGTTTTTTTTTTCTGCCATTACAGAGGTCGTCTGAGTGCATCATAATGGCGCTCTCTTGGCTTGTCTCGCTGTCTTCGAGTACAATGTCGATTCTCTATAAGTTACCATCCACCGAATGCATGCCAGCTCCCGGACAAGAAGAATAGCAAATTAAATAATTGTTTTTTCCTCAGAAGTTAATGAAGGAAATAAAAAAAAAAATAAAGAGTAAGGAAATGTCGGAACAGGAAAAGATCAGAAAAAGCTGATGCGTAGCTTCGTGGGGTGAAAAGGAAAAGAAAAGAAAAGAAAAGAAAAAAAGAAAAGAAAATGGGTAACGGTAAAAGGAAAGAAATGTACGAAGAAAAAAGAAGAGAAATAGTACAAAAGAAAAAAGGTCGGAGGATGAAGAAAAAAAAGAATAAAAGAAAGAGGGTGAAGGATGAAGAAATAAGAAAATAAAGGAAAGAGATTGGAGAATGAAGAAAGAGACGAATGTAGGAAAGAGATTGAAGAATCAAGAAGAAAGAGAATAAAGGCAAGAGAGTGGAGATTGAAGAAACAGGAGAATAAATGAAAGAGAACGAATAAGGAAGAAATAAGAGATTAAAAGAAAGACATCGAAAAAATGAAGAAAGACGAATAAATGAAAAAGAGTGAAGAAAATGAATAATCTAAGAAAGAAAGTAAAGAATAAGCAAATAATAGAAGAAGACAGAGAAAGTGAAGAAATAGAAGATTAAATGAAAGAAAATGAAGAAATAGTAAAATAAAGGAAGCAGTGAGAAGAATGAATAAAAAAAAATAAAGGCAAGTGAGAAAATTGATTATATGAGAATAAAAGAAAAAGAGCAAAGAATGAAGACAAGGAAGATTAAATGAAGGCGATGAAGAATGAAAAATGGCAAAAAGAAATCTAGAATGAAGAAATAACAGCATAACGAAAATAGAATGAAGAATGAATATGAAAATAAAGCAATAAAGGAAAGAGGATAGAATTATGAAAGTGAATAAAAGAAAGAAGGCAAATAATTAAGAGGAACGAGAATAAATGAATGAGAATAGAAATGAGGAAATAGAAGAATAAGACAAAAAGAGCAAAGAAGATAAAGTAAAAAAAAAGAGAGTGAAAAACTGAAAAATAACAGAATAAATGAAAGAGAATGAAAGAAAAAGGAGATTGAAAGAAATCGTGTGATGTTTGAAGAAATCAAAGAAACAGAAAATGAAAGAAAAGAAGTGAAGAACGAAAACATAAAGAAAAGAATGAATAATAAAAAAAAGGAAAGATAGTTAATAATAAATGAATGAAACTTATGAATGAAGAAATAAAAATGAACAGAAAGAAAAGAATGATATCGAAGATAAGGAAAAAGGAAGGAAAAAGAGAATACATAAATAGAAGAATAAAAGAAAGAAAAGAATGAAGAAATAAGAGAATAAAGGCAAGAGAGTGAAGAATAAAGAAATAGAAGAATAAAAGAAAGTGAATAATGAAACAATAAGAAAATAAACAAAAGAGAATGAAAAAAAAAAAGAAAGCATAGTATCAGGTCATCCCATAAGTTCTGTCCGAATTTTACCTTTTCTTAAAATAAACGAAATTTAAAGAGTATTTTATAATGTCTAATGGAACTGAACATTATTTTTATGTTTAGATGCATTTAAACTGATCAAATTTTATTTCAGAGAACAATAAAATTAAATATTGTTTGATTAAAACCCTGCTAACATGGAAGTACCCAAGAATCATTTGAGGCACATAATGCTTTATGAGTTCAAGAAAGGAAACTCAGCAGCCGAAGCGGCTAGAAACATTCACTCAGTTTATGAAGAGGAATGTGTGAATGAAAGAACTTACAGAAGATGGTTTGCAAAATTCAGAGGTGGAGATTTCACCCTTGAAGATGAAGATCGAACCGGACGTCCATTTGATGAAAAGCTTCTTGAAGCAGCCCTTGAAGAAAATCCTGCTTTATCCGTTGAGGAATTGGCAGTGGTTCTCAGTTCAAACCATACAACTGTTCATCGTCATCTTCAACAACTTGGAAAAGTTCCTAAACTTGGAAAATGTGTGCCTCGTGAATTGTCTGAAAACAACCTCAAATCCCGAGTTGATATCTGCTCTTCTCTCCATTCTCACCAACTTGTTTCAACTTTTTTGGATAGACTTGTGACTGGCGACGAAAAATGGATCTTTTATCGAAATGTTAAGCGTCGTAGACAGTGGCTTGGTAAAGGGGAAGGACCCCAGCCACAGCCGAGAAAGGAACTTCATGAGCAAAATGTTCTTCTTTCAATCTGGTGGGATCGCCAAGGAATAATCCACTTTAAATTCTTACCACCTAATGCAACAATTAATGCTCAAATATACTGTCAGTAATTAGAGCGTTTGAACCAAGCTTTGAGGAAAAAAAGACCTGCTCTAGTGAATCGAAAAGGGGTGATGTTTCATCAGGACAATGCGCGACCCGACACAGCAAGAATCATGTCACAAAAGATCGAAGAACTAGGTTGGGAGAAAATTCCTGATCCACCTTATTCTCCCGATCTTGCTCCTTCAGACTACCATTTGTTTTGTAGCTTACAGAATCATTTGGAAGAAACAGCTTTTGTAACACAGGAAGATGTTAAAACTGACATTTGTGAGTTCTTCGAATCAAAGCCAAAAGAATTTTACAGTAATGGAATTAGTAAGCTTGTTAATAGATGGAAGGAAGTCATAGATAATCAGGGAAAATACATTGTTGATTGAATCTGTAATTAAATGTAACATTTGGTCACTTGTTTTCTTTATTCAAAATTCGGACAGAACTTATGGGATGACCTGATAAATAATGGCCAAGAATAAAGGAGTGAGACTGTTGAAGAAAGAAGAAAAATGAACAGAAGGAAAAAAACGATATAGAAGATAAGAAAAGGGAAGGAAAGACAGAATTAAATGAAGAAGTAAGAGAATAAAAGAAGGAAAGTGAAGAAATATAGATAATAAATAGAAGAATGAAAAGAAGGGCTAATAACGAAAGAGGAAAGAAAAATAAGAATAAGCTAAAGAAGGAAAGATAAAGTTGGATAAGTAGAGAGAGGTAAATTGGAAATAAGGAATGAAGGAATGAGATTGAATAATGAAGAAATTTAAGAATGAAAGAAAGAGAGAAATGATGCGAGTGTAGAAGAAAAAACCCAAAACGAAATAGGACAGAAAAATATTCTAGACAGGTTGCGAATCACAGATAGATAGCACGGTCTACCTTACTATTTAATCCATAGCTGAGAGGTTAAACTTCAAAAGAAAACATGGCTTACGGCCACATGACTTTGGATCACTGACTCCCATACAGTCACCGGAGTTAAACAATGTCGAGCCTGATCAGTACTTAGAAGGGTGACTACTTGAGAATATATCCTGTGTGTTTGGATGTGCAGCTTGTGCAATAAACAATGGCTCGGAATTTGAATTCGGAGAGCTAAGTTCCAATTCACGTTGGGTTAGTTATACTCACTTACGCGCAAATACACTTGAGAAAGCTATGACTCCACCTCATCTCCCCACCCTCGCAGCCAATAAGACGTAGGAAGACTTGTATCAAAATTACATTATTATCTCCACCCACTAAGAATTGTTAGATTCTAAAAATATTTTCTGGCTTTATGTAATCTGTAAACCGTAAAAACAAATCATTAAAAAAAATTAACAGCATCAGAAGGAAAATTTAACTCATCAAAAACGACTGTAAATCCTATCAAACAATGCCATCTGGAGAGGGTTAATGAAAACTGTTTGATATGGATATCAGATAAATGAAACAGATCCATAAGACGATCTCATATCCACTGTCGAGTAAAGAAAGTTGAAATGGTGTAGACACGTCATATGAGTCAATAATATTTCCACTGCAACGTTCTACTTTAGGCAAAAGAAGAAAAGACAGAGGAAAAATCAACGTCACGGAATCAGTGGTTCACAAGCGGTGTGGCGCACCTCATAAGTGCAGCGGAAAAGGATAGCAGGTGAGGCGGAATGATTCAAAGACACTCAAAAATTTAGAAACACTTTTTAAAAAAATTATTTCGAAATTTAAATATTATTATGGATTGCTTGAAATTGCATGCATGAGTACCATTATTGACCGATTTTATCATTGTGATATTTTTGCATTACAGCAAGTGTTAAGAATATTGTAACTAGGGTTCACAAATTGGAGGAGAGAGTTATCAATGATAATATCCGGACTTCAAATCCGCGGTTATCTCCTGTATATTATGAGATAGTTTTCTCTGTCCCTCATGCCTGTGAGTATCAAATTTTCTAAGCCAACTTTCCTCAGTATGTGTCCTACAAATTTCAACTATCTCTTCCTGATGTTAAGTATAAGGCTCTGTTTTGTTTCCATTTTCTCTAAAATTTCGTCGTTGCTCACGGGTTTGATCTATGGTATCCTCAGCATCCATATGTAGAACCACATTGCTGTTGTTTCACATCTCTTTTTGCATCTGTCCAGAACTGCTATACAGGACAGATATCACGTAACAATTTTTCTCTGTCTCTTAATACTTTGCTTAGCTTCTGTTAAAAATATTTCCCAGATATTTAAATCTTCACACTTGTTTGATTTTTGGTATCTCTGATTTACAATTCGCACTTTGGATTCATAGCCAAAACAATAAATTTTCAAATGAAAGTGGCAAAACACTTTTTCTCGAAGACATCCAGTATATTATGATTCCGACAAATGCTTGCGGAACAAAATGGAACCAAAACCAATGACGGAAACATTCTTTGAATTCTTTTAAAAAGTTCAGTGAACATTTGAAAAGATATTAAGTAAAGTTCATTTTCTCAATAGTGTTGAATAACGTTGTAAGAAATACGAATAGGAACGACTTTAATTTTATTTTTGGGTAAGTTTCAATAAAATAAGGCAATTTGAAAATGTTTAATGTTTTTATTTAATAGCAGTAAATATAAAAACCGGTTTCATTTATGCTTTTAGTCCTGGTAGGACGATAAACTCCATCCGACAACAAGATCGGGAGATTGAAGGTGTTGAGAAGCCTGGAACCACCTCTTAATTGCTGTTGTTCTCAGGTCCACCCTGACCCGGAGTGGCTGCGACTGTTGGGGTTGCAGATATGAGCAAATAGTGAATCCCCAAGCAAGAATCAACAGTACATTTTTATAATAAAATGACTAACAATATATTTTTATAACAAAATGAAAATCAAAGCAACACTAAAAAACAAAAATACATTTTTATAGTAAAATTACCAACAATACATTTTATGATCTACAAACTATATATCTAAAGAAACATACCTTGACAATGAAAGCATACAATTACGTACAAAATATTTAGATTTCGACATGAAATAACCCGCTAAAATTAAATAAAATTAAATAACCCGCTAAAAAAAAATCAACCAACCCAACCTGCCTTTTATCCTTTACATAATCAGACGAAATTGAAACCGGTGTATTTTTTAATTTATCCCGCCAATGTAAGTTAATATAAGCAAATCTAAGAATGTGGACGCTTATTTGAAATTAAAAGCATATATATTTTTTCACTAGCAGCATGGCCCGGCGTTGCCCGTGCTTGATTCAAAAATCGTACGACTCATACAGCAATCGCTATCACTTGACTTAAAATATTTTTGCCTTTCCTTGCCTTTAAAGGAGTGCCCTTTTCCGTGCTGATGTTGCTACATACCTTACTTCTTGCCTATCTCACACTGCGAATTTTTTCTAAGCTCTATACTACACATTAAATCTGTTACAAAAAAAGAACTAAACAAAATGAACACAAAACGATCAGCTTTAAAAAAGGACTCATAACTGGAAAAACTGAATGAAAAAATAATGTTAACAACAAATACTTTTTCACACCCAACCCAGTTCTGCGGAATCAGAATCAACGTTGAGTTTAAGCAAGCGAATGAGCTAATTGAAGTAAAGTGTCATGCAGATTTAAATTTTTCCCACTTGTGACGAATGCAGCTATTGATTTTTTTTTGCATGGTAACGTGCTAGTTAACATTCGTGTCAGTCAGCTGTTGGCTCTCACGCTGGCCAATAGAATCTTCCTGCCTATTCGTAGCAACCAGCTATAGGCTCTCACACTATCGATGGGAGTTGGGAAACGCAAAGTTGGTCTTGGTGTTCCCACTAATTTGGAGCACGTGCATGTAAATTTTGATACAAATCCGTCGAAAATTGCGGCCGTGCATTCGTTGCACACTCACACACATACTGCCTTTTATAGATTTCTACCGTCGAGTTACCAGGTTATTTATCCCATTACGATAAAACCCTAAAGGTTTGAACGCCAAAAAATCTTTGAATAAACGGTCTGAATTTTCTTTTCAACTGAATGTCTTTTGGTTTAAAAATTTGTGAAGATGCCTCACCCCTCGCCCATTGACAACCAATTTTTCACGTGGTAATCTGGGACACATAATGAGGAAGGAGGGTCTGGAGAATCTGTAGGGAAAGAGAGACAAGGGAAAACAACGATTGACAAACCTGATCAACTTAAGCAAGTGGATGACAGAATGTGGTCTGGGAGAG